CTGAAAATATGGATGGAGGACCTCAGATTAGCTTGTTTGTCGCGACAAACAAGCTAATCTGAGGTCCTCCATCCATATTTTCAGTTACAGGCTGAGTCATTTCTACCTTCTCCTCTCTGTCAACGCTCTCTGGTTTCATTTAAAAGAGTCGATCACCAGATATTGTCCAAGATTAACCTTCAGGGTGGATATAGCTCGCTCACACCAAGGACCTATCCACGTCATCATTTACCCAGAATGCTTTGTGTGTAAATAAAATGGCTCCGTCCGTGTTAAAATATATTTTTAAACTTAGTTGAAATATGATAAAAACTGAACATCCTACAGTATTTTACAGTCTTTATTTTACAGTTAAAATATATGTTTATTAAATAAAGTCTAATGTAACTAATCAGGGATCCCTTTAAACTAAAATCATCATCTTATAATGAGGAATGACTAAGCGTTAGCCTATCAGTGACACAATCAAAGACTATATGATTTGGGGGTGACTCTCAACTATCACACCATGAAACTTTAGCTCAATATCTGTAAAATTAACTGTGTTATGGACACTTTTTAAGCTTGCTAAAATCAATTAGCTGTGATGTTAATCTTAAATTAGGGMGACCAAAAACGTTAATGAATTGTATATGTACATGATGATTATTATCTGAGAGTTTTATTACAACCTGTTCATGAGTAACTTTGTTTATGGACTAACAGAGTGGACTCCAACAGTTAAAGGCATCGTTCCACAGGTTTCACACGATCAGTTAGCTCTCAGAGTATGAGGTGGGAATGACTGTTGGCTACTACCACAACCCATTTTAGGTCAGTCTGTAAAATTAGTAGTTAAAGCAGATTTTGTGTTTTGTAGGTTGTATTAGGTTGAAGATCYTGTTTGAAAGTGTGGCAACAAACAAAATAACTACCACAGTTGCACTTCTCCAATTTTGAGTCTTTGTGACGATAAAATGCAGATTAAGCCAAAGTAACTACCATTTCTGAAGTTCTGCYGGTTGATCGTGATCTTTTAGAAGCAAGTGGAGGACCGTCAACAAGATTTCTGGAGGAGCGCTGAAATCAGCAGAAGCATTGACATCTAATGAACATCAAGACATCTGATCAATTGTGTATTCTTAAAAAAAATCAAGTTGTGCACATTAACAAACCCTTTTTTCTTGTTTTTTCAGTCGCATTGTCCTCACATTGGAGGAATCCCAGTCCTGCCAGAGATCAAAAACATCAGAACCAGAATTAAAGTACATTTTGAAGTATGCCAGTGTCCAGTGGTGAGCACAGTTCCCCTAAAGCACTAATAGGGGAACTAATTTCCTGATTAGTGCTTTAGGGCTTTTGCTAATTTCTTAATTCATCAGTGGATAAATCTATGGGCTAAATTTATAAGCACTAGTTGAGTTCTTTAAATATTATTGATCAACATTATTGTCAGCAGCTGAGGGTGAAAGCTGTCAGACGTGTTGGTCACTTATCCACTAAATCAGTGGTTTTCAAACTGTTTTGTTTCCGACCCACTAAATAAAAGTTGCAGATACTTGTGACCACATATATTACTTGTTTACATATGAAAACTTTGCTAATAACTCTGTTAAACATAGGAGTAATAACAATAAACAAAACTTCAATGATACCTTTTTTTATTCATCGATGCTTATTTTAAAAAATTGCAAAAATCATGATGAAAATATTCCACTAGCCTTTCTTTGCATTTAAACTGATGTCTGGAAATCATCTGGGGACCCTCACTTGATGTTTTGTGACCCACAAAGAGGTCCTGACCCCAACTTTGGGAACCACTACACAAGATGAACTATTAATATTCTGCACACAGAAAATATTGTCTCATGTTGACTCTGAGGAATGTTCCATGGGTCAGCTGGGATTTCAGTGCTTTAAAATTAGCTTTTGCTAAATTTTTAAGTGTGTTAGTGCTTTAGAATTAGGGGACCTAAATATTAAAGTTAGTGCTTTAGGGTGTAATAGAACTAATACTTTTATGTTTAAGCAAGTCATTCATGACATCCTTTAATGACCTAGGTTTTCATGACATTC